GGACATTACAGGTGGGGAAATAACGCTGAGAAAGACAAGGTGCACAAAGACTTGCCATGCTGAGCACTGCCCCCGGGGTACGGGACGCCTCAGGCGGGCATCCTGGGTGCCTCGGCTGCTTCCTTATGGGTGCATCTCCTCAGGCTGAAACAGATGCTTTCGCAAGGCTCTGTAAGCAGCAAGGGAGAGAGGCAGCGTCCAAGCAAGGTGGGTTTCGGGTGCTTCTCGTGGTGTATTTCCACAGGCGATGCTGCTGCCCACAGGATCGTGGTCGGCCGCCATCCCCTGTGTCCGTGGGGAGCCGCCCCTCAGGGTGGGCAGCGTGGCAGGAAGCTACCCGGCTCGGTTTCCTCACGTGTATTGATTCAGTGCATCTCAGCTAGCATTTTCTGGGCTTTTCCACAGGTACACATTAATTTACTAGTAAATCCTGCATTTCCTTTTTATTTTTTAAAATTTAGATATGATTTTCTCCTATATGAAATGTTTTCAACAGCCGCCTCTGGCTGCACAGAGCTATCACGACATTTTTTTCTCTGTCACTGAAACTTCTCTAAATCCCATGTCATTTGTAGTGCTTATTGGAAGAAAATCACTGCGTTGACTTTTAACTCTGCTGAAAAGAGCCTCAAATATCCAAGCGTAATCATTTTTGTGGTGGAGCGTTACCTCCTGTGCAAGGTAAAGCGATAGGCAATGGGCCTCCCTGTCTCTGGATCAGAGGTGGTTGACGTTACACCTGGTGCTAACACATTTATTAGATTTCAAGACCAGGCTGGGAAGCTAGGTAGGTTTCTCTGTATCCTTTTTTGACTATGGGTGGGTGGAGGATATTTTACATGGCTTTGCTACGTGACATCTATTTAACAGGAAGGCTGCTGGCTGTGCCGGCAAATGCTGTCTTCCCTGTGAAATCCACATGGGCAAGGGAGGAAAGGAAAAAGCAAAAAGCTTTATCCTTTTCTCCAAGCGGTCATGGAAAAATAATTCTCTACAGAAGAAAAGTGTATTTTGAGCTCATGTTTGTCAGCAGAAGGAGCTGACCATACAATGAAGCTGGCAAGTTCATTAAAATTCTTTGTGGATAATATATTTCTTGTGCGTAGTGGCTAGGTTTCCTTGACTTTTTCTGCTTCCTCAGAAAATGCTTTGCTGAAAACATATTGGATTAGGAATTTTTTTTTTTTTGTGCCTACCTCCTCCTGTCATCCAGCCCGCTCCCCGCTGATTGTCAGGTGGTTGTGATAGGAGTTAAGCTGGGCCTGTTTTCATACGGCAGATCTGCTCATTCACCTCTCAGACCTCTGAAGGCTTGCACTCAGATCAAGGTCTGATCCAAAACTGGAAAAGGATTGCTTTTTGGGTGCTTTGTACAGCACCATGTAATCTCAGCTTGGTATATTTTTAGAGATGGGCAGGACCTACTGAAGTGTGGTGAATCTCCAGTTGCTGTTCAACCTTACGGTGAATGGACTTCACCACGCAGCCCTTTACAGGCAAACCATAAACCAAACTGCAAGCTGCCTCCAAAGGACAGCAAAGCTCATCCTCATGAGCAAAGCTACATCCAGACTTGGATAATCTCCCAGAATGTTTTGGTCTTTGCACTCTTGAACACGATTACTTCATGCGTCTGGTTTTCTGCAATTCAAATGCTAGTCTACCTCCGACTTGATTCAGACTGACAAAGCCCCTGCTGGTCTTTTTTGTTTTAAACCCAAAACATACATTTCTAGTGAATTTTAGTTTCCAGTATTGTTTCATTTTCTGTTGTACTCCAGTTGTCAGTCACAGAAGCTAAGCAGTCTCCAATATATGTGAAATGTATTAGCAAAGTTCTGCATTAACTTCGCTGTACGTGGGAAAACACTGTTCTTTCTGGGTCTTTCTAAATACCGCCGTTCCTCCCCCCACCCTTTCCTGTCTTGTCACAGCTTGGCAATTAGTTCTTCAGGAGTTACTGTTGTTTCCTAATGTCTTCGCAATAGAAGAAGTTTCATGCCAAATGTAGCGTAGACACAGTTCTTGAAAATCTGCGCCTGAAGCTACCTGTGGAACAGCAGATTACTTTTCCATAACTACCTTCGCAAAAGAAAACCAAATGTCCCACTTCAAGCCTTCCTGTCTTTTACTGGTTTTTTAATTGAATAGATTTTGCTGTAGATTTGTATTGATTTACTGCTTTAATACTAGTCCTGTTAATGTCACATCCTGCACCAGAACAGAATGTGTCTGCCTGGTTGCAAAGAGGTGCCGCTGACAAAGAACAAATTGAACTAGATCGTTGACACAGATGCAGATTATAGTGTTTCCCTTTTCCTCATTGGCAAAAAATTCAGATTCACTCAGTAAAAATGGTCGTACTTGTCTATCCAGATTTTATTCATGCTGAGGTTTGTGCAGAAGAATACTTACAGAGGACAAACCATCTTTTTCAGCAGATTTTTTGTTTCTTTCTCTTAGTTACGTTTTACTATATTTCATAGTAAATAAGATCCTCCCTCATCGTAACTAATTGCTGTAAATGCTCCTCTCTATCCACATGGTAAACTGAGGCACAACCTCGTGAAAAGTTGCCCCCGTGAATCATTAGCAGTAAGTGACAGTAGACCCAGATCCTCCATACTTTCTTCCAGTCATCCTTGAGAGCTGCCTATGAAATGAGAATCGCTTCATGAATTCAGTAAATGAACTGAACAGAGAGGGATGGTGGGCTCTTACACGTACTCCTGCAGATGCAGGGAGGTTTTTTAGTGCAAAAGGCATTGTTCTCAGCAGAGGCATGCTGAGGAGTATTCACATCGCTGGTCTTTAAAACAGGAGCTCCCAGGCCTAAAGGCCTTTTGTATGTGATTGTGCTGTTTACCAAGTTGCTTGTAAATCTTGAAAGAGAGATAAAACATGAGCCTTTCAGAATACTTCCATTCATTACATCATGTAAAGCAGCCTGAAAACAAAGAATCTTTTAATTTCTTGATGCATTCTCTACTTGTGGGGTGTTGAGGGATGCAATGGACATAGCTAAGACAGAGCTGTCCAACAGATGGGTAAGTAGGCAGCAGTTTATCCTGGTTAACTAACGAGCCAAGTGTTTGTACAGAGGCGACGTTAGACTGGGTAAATCCGTGGTGCCCTTTCCTTCACTGTAAGAAATCTGCCTGTCCTCTGCCTGATGGGCTGGGCCTAGTGCCGTACTTAAAGCAATTTTGCCCCGTGCAGAAAATACCCAGATGACCCATGTGAAGCAAAATCTCCAGCAGCCTGTTGACATCAGAAGTGTCCCAATGTCCTGCAAATCCCTCTCTTCCCCCTGCCCCCCAAATGCAAACCCAACCATAAACATTGTGAAGAAAATAGGGAAAAAAAGCCACATTCCTTTTCTGAATGAGTGTTGTGAGGATTCCCCTTCAGCAAGGACGAAAGAAATAAAAACTCAAGGCAATGAAAATGTAGGTCTCTGTTCAACTTTAATCTTGCATTTATGCTTGCTTCTCAAAAGTTTTTCAGTTAGCTAAAAATACAGTTAAAGTCTTAATCATTCCTCTAAACTTAAGAAGGTCGATTTGCTTTCTCAAGTGTTTGTTTAAGCTTATATTATTGATTGTTAAATATGAAAATAATTTTTCACCCTGCTTTTTCTCCTTTGGTGAGCTGTGCTTAGTCTCACTGCCATGACTTTTCTGAAAATGGCTGTATAGCTGTAGCAAAGTCACCTCTGCAAACATTGCCCTAAAGAAAAAATACAAGTCTGCTAATATGAAATCCTATTTTGGTGTAGCCAAAATCTAAAATTCTAAAGGAAGCTGTAACATGTTACACGGCAATAGCCAAAGAAAACAGTTATGTCTGTCTTCAGAGAAAGGACTGGAATAATATAAGGAAATCCCATTTCCCAATATATTGAGCTTTTCTGTAAGTAATTGGGTAAGATCTGAAGAAATCAGTTCAAATCAAAATCTTCTTGGAAAAACTATGAATCTTAACCATATGTGAATATTTTGCAGATAGGTTATTATAAAAAAAAAAAAGGGAAAAAAAGAAAAAAAGAATAATCATACAGAAATGTTCATACTGAAATGTTCAAACTGAAATTTAAAACCTTCTAAGATGTGATGCGGGAAAAAGCCATTTCTTGAGCCATCCCATTGTATTATGCAAAGTCTCATGCTTCAAATGCAGCCCTCCAAAGTGAGGGAATTTCCACAGATGTGCAACTGGTTTACGTGGTTGAGCTTCCCTTTTTCTTGCTGGCACATCATATCAGCCATGGGCATCCCAGTGCAGGATGCTGTTCTAGGCTGAATAAATACGCTTAATAGAGAAACCTGAAATCCAGAATCGTTAGATTAGATTAAAGGAATCCACTACCCTTACCTAAAAATTAACTTTAGATATTCTGAAGGAAGAAGGGGGGAAAACTGTGTTAGTACAGAAGAAATTTGTCACGTATCCTTCACTAGCCAGGATGACCTAGATGTTGCTCAATTATGTGTGAGCATTTTTTCTTTGCTCTGTATTGTACCTTCATGTAGGACAATGTAGGACGGTAAGAATTACTCCATGTGTTACCATCTTCCTGATTTGCAGCGTTGAATGTAAACATACTCCAAACAAAACCCTCCAGAGGCACTTAGGGACAGACTCCTCTTGAAGGTCCTCCGTATAGCTTGTAAAGTGTCCTTCCAGTGTTGTGTTAAAACTACAGGCTTGCAGAGAATCCATCTTAATGTTTTCTTTAAGTGGTTTTTTTAGATTAGAATCTTCATAGCTTTATCTCACAGTTCCTTCGAATGATTTAGTGCAATGAATTTCATTTTATATAAGAGCAGCAACAGAAGTCCTTGGTTAGTGTCTGGAGGAGGAAAAGGTTAAATTCTGTATTCAGATATGATTCGTGAGTTGGTAGTTAGAGAGAATACTCAATACAAAAAGCCAACAACAGCAACAACAACAAAAAAACCCTCCAAAAAGGCCAGAACCTTGAATGAGGTGAGAAGCGTTCATTGGAAAAGAGAACTCAGGATGTACGTAAGGATCAGGACCATCATTAAAACCTTAGTGGTAGGCAGGAGGATGCTGGCACTGGACCAGTACACCTTTCGTTCGTTCAGAAACTGAACAGGCCGGAAATTTTCAGCCATGTACGTTGTTGAGTTCTTCCCATCAAAGTAAACTGTTGAGAATTGAGAAATCTGCAGACATTGAAGAAAGAATAGATCATTAAATTGTTTTTCCACAGAACACTGGAAATTGTGATATTACAAATCTGCAGCGCCTTACTCTGCGGCATTGTTTTGAACTGTATGGATGCGTTAAACCTTGCAGGAAACAATGTGATGGAGGCTACTGCCAGAGGTCACCAACAGGAGGAAATCGTGGGGACTTCCTTTCTGTGGGAGCCAAATGCTTTGTCCAGCTCAAGGACCTGGTTACACCAGTCCTCTTGACGCACACGCTCCTGTCCTTGTCCATCACGTCACAGTGACACACAGTAAGAGGACTAGCAGTTCTTTCTTCACTTCAGATTTCTAACTGCTTCAGCAAGAAGCTGGCCCAGAGCAAGCAGGTGCTCGCTCTTGCGTACTGTGCTATGTTCGGCTGAGCATTGCCCTGTGACTGAAGTGGAGCGTGTTCAGAGAAGGGCAACAAAGCTGGGGAAGGGTCTGGAGCACAGGGCTGATGGGGAGCGGCTGAGGGAACTGAGGGTGTTCAGCCTGGAGAAGAGGAGGCTGAGGGGAGACCTGATCGCTCCCTACAACTGCCTGACAGGAGGGGGTAGTGAGGTGGGGGCTGGTCTCTTCTCCCATGTAGTTAGCGATAGGACGAGAGGAAATGGGCTCAAGCTGCGCCAGGGGAGGTTTAGATTGGACATTAGGAAAAATTTCTTCATGGAAAGGGTAGTCAAGCATTGGAACAGGCTGCCCAGAGAGGTGGTGGAGTCACCATCCCTGGAGGTGTTCAAAAAACGGGCAGACGTGGCACTTGGGGACATGGTTCAGTGGGCATGGGGGTGTTGGGTTAATGATTGGACTGATGATCTTAGAGCTCCTTTCCAACCTTAATGATTCCCAGTTTTTACTTTCATTATAAATAATCCAGCCAGCAAGCCAGGAAACATGAAATTGCTACTCTCCCCTTAACTGGTTTAGTGGTGGACTTGGTAATGTTAGGTTAATGGTTGGACTGGGTGATCTTAAAGGTCTTTTCCAACCTAAACGATTCTATGATTCTATGATTATGAGTACACTGCAGGTAAGGAACAAAAACACAGACACTGGCTGTCGGCCAGGCCGTGCTGGCTAGTAGTGTTGCTGAGATTCCACTCCAGGACATCTGCATTTTAAGCGTGTAGTCTGTCAGCTGAACAATCTGCATTTTAGAGGCACTCATGATTCAGTCTCCTGTTCCTCCCTGTAGGACAAAAATGGGTTGCTTAAAGCTGATGCTGATAGACTCAAAGTTTGGATTTTCAAGCATTCTGGTCTGGTATCCTAATACTGAGACAACAGGAGAAAAGCGGTGAAATCTGGGGATGAGCAGATGACTACAGTGGAAGTGCTGCTGACGAAGCGCTGAGCTAGGTGTTTACCTGTGTGGGTTTTTTGGCTTTCTTTTCACATTGTCGTATTTCCCCTTTCTTCTGTTTTCCTGCCATTTTTTGAGAGATGATTTAATAGGGTCAGAAACCCGGCACTAGGGACTACGTTTAGGCTAATGCCAAGCAAGTGTGTGTGTCACAGGAATAAAGCAGCGGAGCAGCTAACACGTTTGTGCTCAGTTGTGAGTGAGCAGGCTGCTGAAGGGGAAAAATATCCGTAAGCGGACCTGCCAGGCTATCCCTCTGCGACTTACCTGAGACATACTGAGTTCAATTGGCTTCTCAAATACTGTCCAGATGACACCCTCGTGGCAGTCGGGCGTGGTGAGGGAGCCCTCATACCGATAATAACTTTCAAGGTCTTCCTCAGGTGGGAGCAGAGAACTCAGCGGCAAAGGCTGCATCTGTGCTTTTTGCCCTAGACAAACCATGCAGAAAATAGCGCTCGTCACAAGCACGGCAGCAGGTATTGGTCACATTTGTCTTCAAATGTGGCTGCTGCCGGTGGCTATGGAAAGCCTCACCCCCACGCGCGCTTCCTGTGCCGCCCGGGGCGGCCGCACTGCGCTGCTCCTGAAATCCCTGACTGCCAGCTGCAGGATCCCACAGAGCACAAGTTACGCACCCCTCCTGCGTTAACGCTCTGCATGTTTTTCTTCTCGCTTCCCTTCCTCCTGCAGAAGCAGGAATGCTCATTCTGGGGCTGGGGGGTTTCTTCACTGCAAATGCGGAGAACTAGGTTTTCTCCCACCTGTGATGCTCAGAGTGCTGGACAAACTAACCTTTTGGCTTGCACTTTCAAGTAACAATCTCCACTGCAATTAGAACAGGATTGGACCATGAACCACCTGGTAGTATATGTGCTTGAAATACATATATGTCACATTTTGACCAACACAAGTCTCTTACCTTTGTATTTAATATTGTCCAATTCATTTATTAGACTTGCATAGTTTTTATTTTCTTCTTCAACCTGAAATGGAAATATTTTGATTCCAAATCATACATTTCTCAACAACTGGTTGCTTTAAATTCATTGTGAATAAACCAGAAAAGAACCACAAGACTAAAAGATAACAGCAAGCAGAATATAGGAAAGGGTAAAGTAACTAAGTGCTGGCACTGAATGCCTGCAGAAGATAGGGAGGCTTGGGCTACTGTAACGTTAACCCAATCGATCACTCAGCCAAATTGCTGATAGGTTTGAGATGGGCAATGAAAAATTTGGCTACCTACCTTTATAAAGAATGCTAACACAGCCACACCATCCGCACTTTTCTTTGCTTCTGTTATATCTGAAACGTCTTCTCTTATGTGGACAATATGAAGCTGTAACACAATAGTCAAGGCCAATTATTTGTTCATTTTCCGGAGTTCTTGAGTAAAAGCCGTGATCCACAAACTGTCTCACCTACCTCCATGGCCTGTTTTTCTCCATCTATGCTGTGCTCTGACCCAGGAAGGTATTGCTGCACACCTTGGACTCCCCAGTGCAAATGAAATTCTATCGCCTTGTATTTTCTTCCCAGACCACCACCTCCAATTTTAGGGGATGTGCTGAATGTTACTTTAACTGGGGAAAACAAATAAGTAGTTTAAAAATAAAAAAAAAACCAGACTATACATTAATAGTGTTTGAGAGTAGAGATGCATGTTCTTCAGATTCGAATTTATCCTAAAGTTCTGGCTTGGTTTTTCATACTGAGGGTTCCAGAAGTTCAACTCTGCAGAAGCTGAACTCTTACAAAATGCTAGCGGAGATTGATTTGAGGTGAAAGGGAGAAATATCATAGCCCACTTCCCAGCAATACGCAAGAGCATTTGGGCATCCCTCTATGGCACAGCACTTGGAGCTTCTGTTCCTGTTCCTACCTAGGATTTGCTCTGTGAACTTGAATGACTTGTGTACAGCCTGACTTGCTGGAGACCTGAGTTACCCATTACTTCAGCTGAATAAATAAAATAAATTTGATGACACTTGTTTCCCTTGTAAAATGGGGGAAAAGGACTGAGCACTACTTTGGATTGTTCTGGGGTAAGGGTTTTATAGACTTTTATGGCATCCATTGAAATATCCTTTGGAGTGTCATCAGTTAATTGCTTTTTGAAGAAAACAGGGTAATAGGCTGTCTTTCCTTGATTGCACTGCGGGCATTTGTAGGCATTTGTTCACTGCCATTATAACCCCAGGAGCCAGAGCTATTTCTACCTTTCAGAAGGCCCTATATTCCTTCCTTTTTTGGCTAGGACACCCTCAATCAAAGTATTCTTAAAAGTAAACTTGATCACAGTTTATTTGTTTTTTAAGCATCGTTTTCAGCTCCTATCGTCCGCACTGTAACGTTTGCTTTAGGCAGGGTTTAAAGATACTCTGTTGTAATTTAGAGTAGTGTTGCAACTTAAGCCTAAGCGTGTAAGTCATTATATCTATTTAGTGTGACACTTGATCTGTTGTTAACAGCAAAACAAAATTTTCTTAGGAGATATTTTTCTAGCTTTTCTATATTTCTAGATATTTTTCTGGAATCACCACCAATTCCCATGCGTGAGACATTTGGGATATATTTTTGAAATTTAATTATTAAGACCTCTACATGAAGCACAGTACTATTCTTTCCATAGGAAAGACTGTTTTGACCTGGATTATACTCCCTGAGATTTTATTTCTGTTCTGAATTCCAAATGAACTGGAAGCTTAAGTTGGTTTTGTTTATTTAGATCGTAGGAACTTTGAGACCCTGACCTTTGCTATCTGCACATCATGGAACATAATGACAGTATAATGTCATGTAGAGCTTCTAATTGCAGCTGTAATTTAAGCAATAACTGTTCCAGTGTTGAACTCACTGTAGCACACGAATTGGTTGCCCTCAGAAGGAAGAAATTTTTAAAGTTCAGATTAAAAACCTAATCCTTTGGCATGTCTGGGAAAGATGAAAATTCTGACCAATCCTTATGAATATTAATTTTTCTGTAAAAGATATTTCTATGCAGAGAGACTGTAATATGGACACTCTAGAATATCATTCTGTAATGAGAACGTCATTAACCCATATACCAGTGAAAAGGCAAAACATGTCTTTTTCTTATGGTCTCTCAAAATACTGATATTTTAAACTAGAATCTCTGGCTGTGAAAATCGACCCAGCTGCCTACCTTCATACCTTTCCATTTTAAGTTAGGAAAATATTTGCCACTTCCAACTTTCCATTTTAGGGATTTGGCAGCTAAAACAATCCAACTAAGATTTTAAGAACACCTATAGATAATTTAAAAATTAAAAAAGGACAACAGATTTATTTTTAAAGTTAATTTAGCGTAATATTGTTGAAGCATCATCATTAGGATTGCTTTTAGTGAAGCAAATGGAGGAAGTGAAACAGTGCTCAATTACTATTCACTGATTTACTGTGTACTGATTTGCTCTTCACTGATTCACTGTTTACTGAATCACTAAGTAGCTGATGAACAAGCTTACATTAGATTACTTCTGTGTGCAGAGAAAATAAGTTGAAATCTGAGATTTCAGCCCACGATTTAAAGAACTAGTAAGTCTGCAAGCCACTGGTTGAATGACTTTCCCAGATTATGTTCTTCTTCAGCAGAATTCTTCTTTGTGCAGAAGCGAGAGTCAGAAAGGGCAAGCCCAGAAATGAAGGGTATAGGAGCATTCAGCAGAAGTTATATACCTCTGCCAAAACTGTTGTCTTAAACCCCTATACTCGCCTGCCTCCTAGTCCTAGAGGTTCCCTGGACATCTCGAGTTCTGTTTCTGCATATGCACAGAACCAATTTCTGCTGAGACACTCAAGAACCATGTCCAGGATCCAAAACCCAGATAATTCCCACAAACTTCCCAGAAGACTTTGGTTCAGACAGTTTCGCTTCTGAAATATCAGGGTGCTATCTTATTTTTGCTTGCTTGCTTTTAAGTAGCAGTAGTGATATCTAACACCTTGCCTAGGACATGGAAGAAGTGAAGGGGTGGTTCCAAGTGAAAGCACAAGTAAATCCCATAATAACAGCAATAATTAGGCAGTACTTGCCTGTATGTCCATTATTTTCTATGTTCCATTTTGAAGATCCCTTCACATCATATCCTTCAAAACTCAGTGGCTTAAGGTTCTTGTCATAAACGACATTTTTGGTGACAATATTGATAGGTGACTGTTTGTTTCCTTTGCAGGTGACATCTATTAGATACCATCGTCGAGGATCTGTTTGAGGATGAAGAAAAGAATTTGTTTCTGTAGACCGCAAATCCTTGATAAAGCCAAACCACCAAGCAGTCAATAGATTTTTGCTTGTGAAATTGGAGACATCTTTGAAGAGAAGGTCTTTGGATGTTGGAATTTAATACAGGAACTTTCTTAGCATATTTTTTTGTAGTTTTAAAAATATTAATATGTGTCAAGAATGTTCTGTTAAGCTTAATAGGAAAATATGCGCGTGTAAATGGGTGTAAAATAGAAAGTGAACTACCACTGAGGCTGGCTGAACTATAGAAAATACAGAAGCTTGGAAACTATAACAAAAACCCCAAAGGAAGTGGTGGTGGTGCTGGTGGCAGTGCTGGGTGTGACATGCTGTTCCTGGCACAGGCAGTTCCAGGGAGGGCTGGGCGGGAGCCGGGGATGGGCAAGGGTGCAGGCAGCCTGGGATGATACTGCTGATAAAACTTTAAAAGGTGCACTTGTAGGTAGAACATTAGGATTTTTGATAACTGTCCTGAAGAATTTAAACAGCTGTCTATACCCAGCTTGCTGGGATGATTACCTCTGGGGCACATGTAGAGTTATTTTTATATTTGTAGCATTATCCTTGGTTGAAACAGAATGAAGAGTTAGAACAAACACTGGTATCTTCAAAATACCCTTCTTTAGGTATCGTGTTTAGCGCTTACGTTTGCATTTAACATGACCATGCAGCATTAAATGCTGAGTTATGTGAATTTTTGCATTATTTCTATAAAAAGGACCTTTACAAAACAGAAGAATCCAAACACTAATGTGACTGGAAAAATAAATTAGTTAGCGGTACCTTCACAGTGTGACTGTTCATACTTCTGTGACTGATAGCACCAATGGCCTCCAACTAAAAGGAAAAAAAAAAAATCAGATATTGAAAATCAGATGAATGAAAAGCTATACAAATTGTCCCCCCAAAAAGCAGGTGTGAAATGGATTCGCAACTTGTGATCCTCAGCGAGTGATAACTGGGCACACAGTTTTGTCAACTTCTTGGTTTTGTCTGCCTGATTTCATTGGAGTAAGATGTTTCATTTCTGAAATATATAAACAACAGAGGCTGCTAAGAGGTGAGTGCTGTGGCTGTGAGGTGTGGAGCACACCAGCCAACAAGTCTAGCTGGGTTCCAATATCAAATAATTCAGAAGAGAGCATAAAAATCCTGCAGTAGGCGGCTCTGTCTCTCTCTAGATCTCTTCCTGGTCCTGAATGAATCAGTTTACACCAGTTCATCTTCCTTCCAAAAGCTGCGCTAACATGAAATAGAAGAACTCTGGATGGGTTGCACTTCTAAATAATTCAGTTTTGAAACTTTGGCTTCAGCAACTTCTTGAGGCAAAAGTTCCACATCTGAATATATGTAGTGTTAAAATAAATTTCCTTTCATCAGTTCTGTACTTGCCATCCTTTCATATACTTGTAAATTCACTGCAAGATGACTTACCTCACTCCGTTCCAGGAACTAGTTTAAAGATTACTTGGTGCAATAAGGAATTTTAAGAAATGAAGGATCTCATTTACCAAAAGACATGAAGAATTTTTATTCTAACTCAGCTGTGATCCCACAATTTTCAATAGAACATCTTAATCTTACTTTTTCATTGTCAGAAGAAATGTGAAATTCAGAGGAAGAGAGCTGATTTAATTTAAGTACGTATTGATCTAGTCGGGAAAGCGCTGTTCTGTTTATCGCAGCATGCTTCAGTGGCTGTTTATGATGGTTATAAAGCTTTAACAGCAATAGTTCTCTTTGGTTTTTTAACTTTAATCAAAACCAATTCAAAACCTCTTATAATCATGATTAATACTACAGTTTCTGTTTGCCTATGATTATAGACATATATTAAATTATAGACATTTGAATAAATGGCTAATCAAGTTTTAGGGATTATTATGGAGAAGTCCTGTCATTAGATTGTTAATTACCCTAATTTGTGGTCTTTTATAACACATCTGCTGGAAGGCTCATAACTGCTTTTAACACCTTTACCTTTGTATCAGTAGCAGACCAATACCGTCCGCCTATTAAGTATTTAGAATAAGTTATAAATAGAACCTTGATATAAAATGTGGCTAGCTATAACTACAGAGGGAGACTTGGATGAGCTTGTGGCAATTAATATAGTCTTGAAAAAATTATACCGTCTTTGTTCATCCCTCACAAATTTAAATTAATGCTGAAAACTATAAATAATGTTGACTCACTTTCTAGTTTAGCAAATGGTTAGTAATATTGAGAAGAGAAGTAAACAACATTGCTACATTTCTATTCTAAGAACCGTAGTGATTCCTACATTGTTGTTCCACTGATATTTTGTAATTATAAGAAAATCAGTTTCAACAACGTTTTATTTTGACACACTTCTAAACATTCACAGACCATAGCTTTAGGACTTGCCATTTCTAAAATTGATTGTTGCACTTTTTTCAGGCCTGTGTACACAAGACAGCGGCCAGACCTCCATCAGCAGCGCTGAGCAATTTCCCATCTCCACCGGGAAACCGCAGAATCAGAAGTTCCAAGCACAGAATGTCACCAAGTGCCTTAATCAATATTTTAATCAATAAATGCCTAGCAAACACCAGGTAAGCCAATCTTCACAATGCTTGATCATGTTTCATATGTGTTAGTGTTTGCATGGATGAATGACTGCAGACATATTTTTGGCAACTACTCTAGCTCAGTGGTCAGTACATGCTTTAACAGTGGCTGCACCAGCACCCTGGGATTGGGAGTGCTCTTTCTTTGCAAGTTATGTGTGCATGAACCTTCAGGAGAAAAAATGCTGCACTGCGGGAATAACCTGGACACAAGTGTTCCAAGGTGGTAGCGTCTATGCGGCATGAGATGATCGTTACCTGCAAAGATTTGGTCTCAAACTCTTTGGGATGTGAGTTAAACCAGAGAGGAAATTTGTCAGGTGAGAAATCAAGGTCGGTTTAGGTATTCTGGTCTGTTTACTGTAAATTCTTGGAACAAGGTCTACTATTCTGGGTTTGTATAGTACCTTGCACAATGGGAGCGTGATCATGAGTTAGACATAAAAGCGTTACTGTAATGCAAATCAAATTTTACGTGAATCATCAATATGATTCACAATTCCAAGTAAATGCAGTAATTCATTGTTCTTTGGGTACAAGGTTGTGGAGCTTTTAGACCATGACCATAGAACCATGAAAATCAAAGATGACTGCAAAGATGACTGCAGAGAACACTGAGTCACCAAATCATATTGTGGGTGGTCCTGATACAGCGTCTCTGTATCAGAGGAGTGAAATGGAAGGGGGCTTTTTTTTATGGAGCCTTTTATTGCTGAGTCAGAGTCCAACCCTTCTCAAACAAAGCAACCACTGACTTTTTACCAGCTGAGAGGTGTTTGGCAAGTTCTCTCAAATAAGCTTGTGGGTTTCAATCACGTCTTATTAGATTGACACATGAGCACGCTAAAAATCTTTCAGCCTGCACATCAAGATGATGGGGAGAAAAAGTTTAAAGAATTAAACTTAAAAAATATCCAGCCTTCAGGTGGCTACTGCTGCCTCACATCCAGCACTCATGAGTATTCTTCCCTCCTTCTGTTGAATGCAACGTACACCAAATAATTAGCGTCTAATTTTTGCAGGCTTTCTGCAAAATTCCTCATGTCTACAAACTAACAAAGGATTAGTGTTTTTCTCTCAAGTACTTATCACAGTTGTGGTTTACAAAGTTGGATGGCATCAGTGAAGTAAAACAGGATATACATTCAGCAATTCATAAGAAAATGTCCTTAAAGCTGTTAAACCTTAAACAATGAGCTAATTAAACATTGCAGAATGCCTAAGCAAACAATGAATTAATGTTTATTGTGAATTAGATTTTTTTTTTTTGTTGTTGGCGGTAATGTAACATTAGAGAACAGGCTCTTTTGTGTAGATACTGCTCAGGAGGAACAAAACTGCCATACCCTGGCTCACTTACAAGGAAAATTTGCATTTGGATTTTATCTGAGTTAGGTGTGATTCCTCCCTACGTATAGGGACCTTGCATTTACAATGGTCCTTTTTTCCTCCTGGGCTTTAGGGCTTTATTTCTGAAGCAAGAAGGAAAGATACTTGTCACATCCAGTCAGTTGTCTGTGGTCTTAGGCATGATTATGCCCTAAGGTATGTTGTCTAGTCTAGTTATAATTGTCTGAGTGGCTCCTGCCACTTCCCTTAGGAGACTTTTCCACAGTCTATTAGCCTTCACTGTCAGGAAATGTTTCCTGTTTAATAGCTTACATTTTCCACTTGCTTATCTGCATCCCATCACTCCTAGAAATATCACTGAACCACCCTAAACAATTCTCTTCCCTCCCTGGTGTTTACAGCATTAAATAGTTCCTTCATAGTCTGCAATTCCTGTTCTTGCTTCATCCATCTTTTGTCCCATCTTTTGACAATGTGCCCTTCACCTTGCCACCATTTCCACTTCAAAGTCTCTCGTCTCTCTTTCTCCGAAGCCCCTTTCTTACAGGGACTCGGTACACAGCGGATCCCATCCTGCAGTCCTCTCACCTGACTGCTCTTTCAATCAAACCTCAGCTCCCCCATTCTCTTTCCTGTTGTTTATTTTATTGCCCAGAAAAAATGCAGCAGAAGATGGCGGAGTTTTTTGGTGTTTTGGGGTCTTTTGTTTGTTTTTGTAGTTGAGGTGCTGAAGCCATTGCTGTGATAGGAGCAGCCCTGGAGGGTTTCATCGCTTACCTTGCTGGTACACATGAGTTAAGCCATGAGCATCCACACTTTGCTCAGGGTAGTATTAGATACTAGCCAGGATTTCCCAAAGCTCCTTGCCTAATTGGCATCAAATAGACACTTTTGCATTGTTGTCACCGTGGGAAGTAATATAATTCAGTATACATATACACCTGGACTTAGAATTGCTATATTATCAACTATATCTGGCTCTTACATTGTATTACAGATTCTTGATTTAAGTGGCGATGCACCATGTCGTAGCTGTCACCTTGACTTTAGTGGGTTTTAATTTAGAGTAGGGCTGAAGTGGGCTGAAGGCCTCCTCTTCCTTCACAAAGTTCAAGACAGTTAAATTTAGGGAGTCTCTCTTGGCAAGTAAGCAGTCCTACTTATCTCTGTTTCTTCCTTGTCAAATTTACAACTGGTTTCCTGACCAAAGCTGTTTCTTGGCACCAGACTAGCTGGAAAACAATACAATTACATATTGTTTTCATTTCATTGTAAATGTTTTCAATTGTTTTAGCTATCAAGCCTAGCTTGGAAACTTGAGGCAAAAAAATTCCTTCAGCTGAGAACTCCCTCCTCTGTTCACTTACGCAGCTGGACGAAGGACAGCGCTTCTGGCTGGAAGCCAGGGTGTTAGCAGTACTATTGTGCGATCTAGGAAAAGACCCTTAAGCTCTTTGGACCATGGTCAGATTGCCTGAATTCCATAGAAGTTCCTAAATCTACTTTGTTCTGCTTGTTCCCTGCTTACTGCCCTACTTGGACCTGCTGAGCTGCTGCTTGGAAGCCCGCATCTCCTCTGACTCAGTGCCGTGAGGCAGGTGGTGTTCAGGCTAGCTGAAAATCGCCCTTTTAATTTGTCCATCTGCACAAAAGAGTTACTAAAACAGGTTTTGTCCTTCTGGGTAAAGTGGTCGGAAATCTGTTAATTTTATGTGTTGATGGTTAGCTGTTTTATTAACTATATTTAATCTCTTGAAGTGTGAATGACCTTTATGCTGCTAACAGCCTGAAGTACTGAGACAGTAAGAATACCCTCTGTTGCTTTTTAGTTAAAATCCCTTCTCTTTCACTGACTGACTCCTTTGTCCCTTTAGATCTCTCGTCGCCCTCTTTCAGCCAT